CACAAAGCCCTGGAGTCTGTGACTCATCTTCCACTTAGAAAGCAAGTGCTCTCAAACAGAAGTTACAGAGGTTACCCAGAAGCCTTGGTGGACAGCAGCCCCACTACCACCTGAGGCCATGCCCTCCTCCCCAGGTGCAGCAGTGTATCTGCCCAGGAGCCTACCAGCCATCAGGGTGGGGGCTCGGGGGGCTACCTGGAGCACGTGTTCCGGCATGCAGCCCAGGAGCTCTTTGGAATCCACGTCACTGAAGTCACCTACAGACCCCTGAGGTCAGTGGGAAGGGCTGGAGCTTGGGGCAGGGCAGCCTCTCGGGGCACCAGGCAGGAGCTGGGCCCTCCCCTCTGGCTCATGTGAAGGGGCCAGAGCTCTCCAGCCCTTGGTCTCCTCATCATAGGACCCAGTGTCCCCTACCCACAGCACGGTGACCCAGGGCCCCAGAGGCCCATGGTGGCAGGACAGTTTTCCTGGCACAGGGTGTGTCCCAACGTGAGTCCCCATTCCAGGGAGGGCGGGCTGGGGCCTTTGTCAGACCTTGGGAAGGTGAGGTTCCCATTCTACAGACCAGGAAACCAAGGCTGGGGCTGAGGCCACCTGCCCCACTCATTGAAGGGAGCCTTCTACCCTCCCCTATCACTGTCCCCCACCCGGGAGGAAGCCTGGGCGTGCCGTGTGGACAGCCTGCTCTGTGTGCCCTCAGGAACAAGGACCTCCAAGAGGTGACTCTGGAGAGGGAGGGCCAGGTCCTGCTGCACTTCGCCGCGGCCTACGGCTTCCGCAACATCCAGAACCTGGTACAAAAGCTCAAGCGAGGGCGCTGCCCATACCACTATGTGGAGGTCATGGCCTGCCCTGCAGGTAGCTGCACAGAGTGGGCCCTCTGGGACCCCGTGTGCTGACACCCTCCCCTTGACCACACTTCTGCCCGTCCTTCTCTGCCACAGGCTGCTTGAATGGTGGAGGCCAGCTCAAGGCCCCTGACATGCCTGGCAAGGAGCTTCTGCAGCAGGTTGAGAGGCTATACAGCATGGTCAGGACCGAGGCACCAGAGGACGCGCCTGGAGTCCAGGAGCTGTATGGGCACTGGCTGCAGGGCGAGGGCTCAGAGCAGGCCAGCCGCCTGCTGCACACAAGCTACCACGCGGTGGAAAAGGCTGGCTCCAGCCTCAGCATCAGGTGGTAGGAGGCCTCAAGGATCCACCCGGCCCAACACAGCCAGCACCGGGACTCCCAGGAAGGCATGTGGAGTCTCCAGCAGGGAAGTCGCCCGAGACCCCAGGGCATACCCCCAAAATGCTGGATGAGATGTGGGGACATTGGGACCCACATAGAGATGGGACTCAGGACCCCCAGCCAGTAAAGGTGACTTCAAGCCTGTGCTCACCTGGACTCCCCGCTGCAGGGGGCCAGAGGTTCCACCACCTGCTGGAACCTCTCCATGGGCCCAGAGCCCTAGAGGTGCCCTGACTCCTCCTGGTTGTGGTGGCCTAAGCTGTGAGGGTTTCAGCTCATCCTGTGGGGAACTTAAAGGAGAGAAAAGGGGGGGTTCCTCATCCCCCATTTCTAGAGTCACCTGAAGCTGCGATGTGGAGGGTGGTGATAGGCTGGACCTGCCAGGCTGGTCAAGCTCACAGCAGAGCTTGGGGAACCCTGCCACGCTGGGCAGCAGAGGACACTGGCAGGAGACAGGCACCTGGTCCATGACCCCAGCTGGGGATGGGTGCTCCCTCCACCTAGAACCAGGTGTTCGAAGAAGCTGCGGTCTCTGGGGCTTGAGAACCTCTGTCTTGGGGGCTGAGTCCAGGTGGGAAGGACTCTTGCTATCAGGCCTCAGTGGTCTCGCTGGCTGAGTCCTGTGTCCACAGCTGGACCCCCACTTAAGGGGCAGGGGGAGGGCAGATTGCATTCAGCCCACCAGGCCTGGCCCCGAAAAGCTCACTTCTAGTAAAGGGGACTCTCTCTGAAACCAGCTTCTCTTCAAGAGTGTTTACCAGCATCAAAAAAGAGACCTTTCAAAGCTTTATTCAAGTTTAGGAGCCCTGTGCACCCCACTAGGCTGCTTCGCAAACACCCAGGTCTCGGGGCTCACTGTGGCCCAGAGAGGGGCCCCGGGTGTCCAACACCAGGAAAGGCCAGGGCGCCCACCCTCTAAGGCTGGGCAGGGCTGAGGAAGGCTCGATCCTCCTGTGGGTCAAGGGAGGAGGGGTGTGTGGCCCAGCCCACGTAGGGCTCACTTCGGCCGGGGCATGCTCAGGAGCCCCCACTGCAGCGCGAGGAGTGCCTGGGCCTGTGGCTGCAGTGGCTCAGCTGCCCGCTCAAAGCTCGCTCGCTCCCTGCAGAGCACTTCCAGGACTTCAGCTGGGGCGACCTTCCCTGTGAACTTGCGCACAGGCTCCTCTCTGCAGGGAGAGGGGGTTCGATGGGAACCGCTGGGCAAGCTGGACGTGGCGGTGGAAATGAAGCCACTGTTGGAGGGCATTTAAAGAGCAGCCTCTCCCTGGTGCCAGACAATCCAATAACCAGTCCCCCAACACCTCCCTCAGCATCCAAATGACTGCCAGGGAGGCCCAAAGGACAACAGTCCGGCCCCATGCCAGACTGTTCAGCAGCATGGCCCCTGGGGAGGACACAGGTCCTCCCGACATGCGCTGGCTCAGGCCCTGCCATGTGCTCCCCCGCCTGCCCCACAAGAGGGCCCGCACGCTGGCCAATACTCACGCCACCCTCAGGAAGGGGTTGTAAAGGAGCTCCTCGCCCAGGGTTGAGGGCACCGTGGGCACATCATCCTCATCCCTCTTCTGGAATGACCACAGGCCTTTGTCACAGCTTTGTCTGGCAGCTCCAGGCAGCTTGGCTCAGCTTACCAGTCTGGGGGCTTGAGCCTAAACCCTGAGGGCAGGCACTCATGGGCCAGACCTGCAGGCTGCCCAGCTCCCCTCCCTCACCAGTGGGAGCCTTGGCTGGCAGAATGCCCTGGGCCAAGCCATGTCTGGTCACCTGGGTCGATCATGGTGGACTCCCCTGCAGTCCCTCCCTGGTTCCAGTCCTACCCCACCCTCCAACCTTGCCACTGAGAGGGGAGGAGTGGTCACACCTTGGCCCACGATAGCTTGGCCTTCACGTGGTTGTTGCAAGGCTCCACTTTTTGTGCAAACTCGAGGTTGCCCAGTGTGTGCTCGTGACCACAGAACACCTTCTGGAGAAAGAAGGCACTTGGGGTGCACAGCACCGCCATAGGCAGAGATGGGCAGAGACACTCACCCCAGTGGCCCAGCCCCTCCCCCCTCGCCTGGTCCACCTGTCCCCACGGCTGGCAAGCAGTCATCCTGAACCCTGGCATAAGGCAGGTGCAGAGTGCACCGGTTATGTAGGGAGGCTGGGCCCCATGAGAGGGTAAGGGGCAGGCGGCTCACTGTCTCAGGGGGCAGGGTGGCCAGGGTCTCCACCAAGCTGTGATACATCTGCTGAGCTGTGGTCTCCAGGCGTGAGCCGCAGCCGGCCACAGACAATGCGTCCCCTGGGGAGTTGGGTGGGTCAGAGAAGGTGGATGGGGCAGAGGGAGGTGGGGTGGGTAGATGCAGGGCAGCCAGTACCCGAGAACACGGCGGGCGGGTCCAGACACTCATCTTCCCACAGGAAGTAGCTCATGTGGCCCGAGGTGTGGCCGGGCGTCAGGAGGCAGCGCACGTGGATGGCCCCAAACTATGGCAGAGGAGCAGGTGGGCCTGTAAGGTGGTTGGGCCCAGGACGCTCTCCCCACCCCTCCTGAGTGCACGCTCACCCGCAGCTCCTCGCCATGTACCAGCCTGCGGGTCAGTGCACAGATGCGCTCATCTGCGCCCAGCACCACCAGGCCAGGCAGCAGCCTCGCCAGCTCCGTGTTGCCCCGGGCGTGGTCCCTGCGGGTGGGGGGAAGCAGGATCACATGCGGTCAGGGTAGGGTAGGGGTGACACCCTCCTGCCTCAGCCCGCCCTGATGGCACTCACCAGTGGTGATGGGTGGTCAGCACAGTTGTCAGTGATACCCCCTCCCGGCCCACGATCTCCAGCAGCTGAAAGGGATGGGAGTTAGGGAGATGCAGGTGGTCCAGGTGGCTGCCTGTGTTGGGGCGCCAGGCCCGGGTGCACAGTGCCCCAGGCAGGGGACAGGCCTGGGGGTAGGGGAGATCCAGCAGACAATTACTGAGCGCCCAGCACACACAATACAGTTAGGCACCATATGCAGGGAAAAGGGGAGACCCGAGACGGTTCTAACCTCAGAGGAGACTCAGGATAATCAAGAAACCCTAAACGCCAAATAACCAAAGATGAGACAATAGGGCAAGGATCTGGCCCCGGCAGCGTAGTCTGGAAAGCCTCTCGGAATGCGGACTGACGGTCTCGGCCTACGATGCCTGTGCCCACAGCTGTGCTCCCGCCGCCCGAAAGCTGCCCTCACCCTTTTGGGCACGGCCACGTCCACGGCCACAGCCTCCCGCGTGTGCTCCTCGATGACCAGGTACATATAGTTGTCCTCAAGCACAGGGATGACTTTGACCTTCATGGTCGCAGAGCTCAGCCACCCCGCGCCTCCTGAGCCCCTTCCTCAGGGTGGGACTACCCTCTCCAGACCCTAGGCAGAGCTGTGCGTGGGAGGGGTCAGCTCCACAGACACGCTGGGGGCCAGGAAAGGAACCGCACTCCCTGCTCCCGGACTTCCCCGAGGGCCCTTGAGGAATCCCAAGCTCCTGGCTTAAGTTGACCTGCAGCTGCGGGGACCAGTCTCTAGCCAAGACTCAGCCCGCCGCAGGCCCCGCCCCCGCGCAGCAGGCCACACCCCCTATTAACCGCGCCCTCTTCCGGCTCCGCCCCCAGCCACGCCGCTGCCCCGGTAGGCCCCGCCTGCCTCCCAGGCTCCGCCCCCTCCCCAGGTGCCCTCCCGCCGCAGCGCGACCCTGGACCAGCCCCTCTCCAGGCCCCGCCCCTCAACGTCCTTCCGCAGGCCCCGCCCTCCCCAGGCCCCCTCCCTCCGAAGTACGACCCCGGCCCGCCCCCTTTTCCGGTCGTCCACTCACCCAAGCTGGGCTGCGCCAGCTGGTCTCAAGGACTGCCTAAAGGACAGCCGGACAGAGGCGGGCCTCGGGCGCCTGTCACGGGGCCTGGACGGAGCGCGCCGCTCACCCGGGCCTCCACCAACGGCCCGCGCCCCTGAGACCCGCTGGGCCCTCCTGGAACCTGCGCGCGCGGGAACCGGCGCACAGTGCCCAGAGCACACGCGTGCGCGGGAGGGAGCGCGGGAGGGAGCGCGCGCGTGCCCGAAGGGAGCTGCACGCACGTCTGGCCAGTCGCCCCCGGCGCTGCGGCGCCTCCTCCGCGAAGCCCTCCTGGCACCGGGCTGAGACAGCCCTCCTGAGTACCCCGGACCCGGACTGGGACGTCTGAGCCCGCTTCCGTCAGGCTGAGCGCTGCAGGGATCTGTCCAGTTTGTTTGCCTGCCCGTCCAGTGCTCAGCGTAGGGGCCTAATGAGTGTGCGAACCCACATGGTAGAGCAAAGCGCGCTGTGTGAAGACAACAGTAACAGCAGCGGCACCTCCATACCATGCGCGCTGTCCCACACCTACCCAGGCTGGGCCCTTCTATGCACTCGTGGTTTCATCCGCGTCCCTGATAAATGCTGGGGTGCCGATCTGCGTTTCCCAGATGAGGAAAAGGAAACCGGAAAGAATGGCTCGCCAAATACGGAAGCAGTTGAGTGTGCACCCACCTCCCCAACCACTTAACTGTCCTGCCTGCCCTCGTGGGCGGGGCCCCGGGAGTCTCCTGGGGACAACAGAGGCCTTGGCAACACAAACCACCGTGTTGCAGCAACAGGCCAGTAGTCGAGGTGGCACCAGGCTTGGGGCAGCCCAGAGTCCCTTTTGCCTATGGAGTATGTGGCAGCCCCAGGCTCCAGGCCAGGGGCCCCACCTCGGGCCACCAAGAATGTGAGTCCTCCCAGGACGCTGCGTTTCTGGGCTCGGGGGTTCTCCCTGTTCCCTCAGAGACCAGGAGGGGTGTAGATCCTCCCAGGACCTGGGCCTGATCCTGGCTGTGGGAGGGCCTGCCCCAGCTCTGCCAGGCTGAGGGTGTGGGGGTGGATGGCTGGTGGCTTCATGAGAGTGGAGGCCACAGCCCAGGTCTGAGACACACCTGGGGTATGAGTGGTGGTGCCTCCCTAGGTTCTGCCGCGGGCCGAGACCTGGCTGCCAGGAGTCCCTGGGGGTACCCCAACCTGGGCCACCAACCTTGAGACAGAGGTTCCCTCAGATCTAGAGCTGAGTGAGGAGCAGCGGCTGCAGGTGGGTGTGGTGGCCCTCAGGCACTGGCAGGAGGGAAAGCATCCCCAGGGCCCCACAGGCCCCACCTCTCATCCTGGCCATTCACAGGTCTGCAAGGAGCTGGTGGACCTGCAGATCAAAACCCATCGCCTGAAGGAGCAACACGAAGCTGAAATCTTCGAGCTGAAGAGTGAGGTGGGCACTGATGTGTGCCTACGTGTGCCAGCCTGAGAGCATGGGGGGAGGGTGCACACTTAGTGCCAGAACTGTGAGGGGTGCAGGTGTGCCCCATGTGACTGTGCACACGCAGTGTCTGCGAGTCCCCACCTGTCCTGTGTGTGCTGTGTTCCTGTGGATGCCCAGATGGATGATGACCTGGTCACCCCGCAGGTCCTGTGGCTGGAGAGCCGGGTGCTGGAGCTAGAACTGCACGGAGAGCAGGCAGCCCTAGCAGAAGCTAATCCGGGGCACCGCCAGGCACTGGCACAGGAGCTTGGGCACAAGGCCTGGGGGCAGGGACACTCCGACCATCACAGACTCCAGGTCACCATGAGCGCATGGGTGGAAGCTAAACAGGGGTCCAGCAGGGGAACAGTGAGGCTGAGACCGGCTTTTCTGTGCAGGCACAGCCCAAGGACTTCCTGACAGCTGAGAACGAGCAGCAGAAGCTGGGGCATGGTGTGAGTGTGCAGCCACCTAGCCCGGGAATCTGTTGAAGTTTCTCCCAGCCCAGGGTGGAGGTGGGGCAGTGCAGGGGACCCAGAGCTTGGGCTCTCACCCAGCCAGCCCTTGTGTATCCCGCAGCCGCAGGGAGAAGTAAGTCGGGCGCCAGAGCAGCACAGGGCTCAGCAGCAGGCACTGGAGACGCGTGTGTGAGTGACTGCCTCACCTGGGACAGGAGGGCCCAGCAGGGCACAGTGAGCAAAGGAGCTGTTCTTAAGGGGCAGAAGGAGTCACCTGCCCTAGGCCTGGCTAAGCCTCATACCCATGTCTGCAGGGCAGCCCTGGGCTGGCAGCTGCAAGGAGCTCAGGAGGAGGCCAGGACAGCTGGGCAGCAACTGGCTGCACAAACCTTGGTGAGGCCCACCCCTACCTGCTTTGAGGTCTGGCTCAGCAAAGGTCCACCTTGCAGGACATAAATTCAGGGCCATCTCCACCCCCAGGTATTGTCTGCCTGCCGGGGCCAGCTCCACCAGGCTGAAGCAGAGAACGCCCGGCTGCAGCTGCAACTCAAGAAGCTGAACGAGGAGTACGCCATCCGACTGCAGCACTGCGCCCGAGCCGTGGCTGTGAGCACTGGGCCGGCTGGCCCTGTGTTGAGTGGGAGGCCTCTGGATCCTGGGGAGCCCGAGTCTGGCCTGGGTGTGCTAGACCACTTCAGAGAGACTCTGACCTTGTGGGAGACTTCAGGCCCACCCAGCACACTGTCGTCAGACCAGCTCCATGGAGGGAATTGGGGGGGCAAGGTGTGGACCCGCCCCAGCCCAGCCCTATCTCCTCCAGGAGTATGCAGATGGTGCAGGCCCAAAGCCTGCATCCACAGCCCTTCGGACATTCCTGGAAACCACTCTGGAGAACATTCGGGGGGCACATCACAGCCGTGAGCAACAGCTGGCCCGGGCTGCTCGCACCTACCGCAAGCGCCTGGCAGATCTGAGTCAGAGGCACGAGGAGCTGCTGGCTGCCCACAGGTGGGCCCCTCCCTGAGCTGGGCACCTGGGGTGGGATAGCCCTAGGTGACCTGGTGCGGGGTTTAGTGTGCAACAGGTGCTGGTGGAGCCCAACGGGGCACCCAGGATCCCCAAGGCTACCTCTGGTGCAGCCACCTCAGACATGGAGCCGCCGCCCCTGCACATGGTCACCAAATTCGGCCACCTGAGGGAGGACCAGGCTAGGCTGGAGAAGCAGCTCCAGAAGCTCCAGGCCCAGGTGACCCCTCCCTGCTGCCCCACAACTCGCCCCAGGACCCATCCCAGGCTCAGCAAAGCCCCAAGCCCAGGGCCTCTGAGCAACCTGCCTCATTCAGCAATCGCTGTTCTTGTTCCTACAGAAAGAACCCAATGAAGCCTCTCAGGGGGGCCCATTAGAGCCACAGTGAGTACCTGGTGTGGGTGCTGGGGAGACCCATTCATTCATTCTGTGAACTAACTGCTTAGAGGGGTTCTGGTTGCTGCAGTGGACAAGGTGGCCCATCTGTATTCTCCAGTCTCGGTCTGCTTATGAGACACTAATAATCGCACAAAAACCAACTGCCTGGAGAGAGAAGGGACTACCCTCCTGGATGGGAGGGGGCTACCCTTGAATGGGAGGGTCAGGGAGAGACCCCGAAGAAAGGACACTTCAGCTGAGACTTGGAGGACCCATAGCTGAAGACCTGTAGTGGCATGGACGATAGAAGTCTTGACCCCAGGACAAGGCAGGAGCAGGCTACCTGGTGACCTTCACAGCCTTTGCCTCTGCACCTTCATGTTCTCAACTGTGCAGTGGGCAGAAGCTAGGACAAGTCACCTGCCTGGGGTTTTGGGAAACCCCCCAGCATGGGGGGAGGCCCCCCATAAGCATCTTACAGACACTGGGGTCACTGTCCCAGCTGGCCTTGTGGCTTAGCTTTCCCTGAGTGGCCAGTGGCTGCCCCCATGCACAGATGGCTCCAAGCCTCACAGAGCCCACAGTGGAAAGGCAGCCCTATACTGTCCCAAACTCGCTCCCAGCAGGCACCTCAAGGACCTAGGGGCCCTGACTTGAGCAGGGTCATTGGTCAAAACCTGGGTCCATGCCAGCTTTCACGCCCACCCCTCCTCCTCCCCTCACAGGGGCCTGGAAGCTGCATCCTGGGCCCAGATCCGCCAGAAGCTACAGGACTTCTCCCGTGGCACCCAGGTAGTGGGCAAAACCTGGCCAGAGGCCCTTCCTCACACTGTGCCCAGGCTCATGGCTTATGTTCCCTCATTCCAGGCAGAGCTGGAAAGGGAGAGAGCACAGCTGCTAGTCCGAGCCACGATGGCTGAGGAGCAACTTTCTGAGCTACAAGAGTATGTGGACCAGCACCTGGGCAGGTGGGCTCTAGAGGTGGGCTGGGTAAGACCCAAGGACCTCAGTCCCAGGCACTAGCAGCAGGGCTTGTCCACAGCCAGGTGGTGACTATGCCTAGTTTCTCTGAGCAGGTACAAGCAGGAGATCCTGAGGCTGAGAAAACTGGTGGGTACAGGGAACCCCTGGAAAGCGGGGGCCACACCTCCAGCCAAGCCGCAGCACCCAAGGACTCGCAGTCGTTAGCTGGTCAACAGATAAACTTGGAGCAGAACTCTTCACAGCCAGCATGGAGCCCTCCCCACAGCACCCCCTTGGGAGATCATTCCACCCAGCTCAACACCCAACAAAAATCAGGCTGGGGGCTTCCCTGGTGGCGCAGTGGTTGAGAGTCTGCCTGCCAATGCGGGGGACACAGGTTCGTGCCCTGGTCCAGGAAGATCCCACATGCCACAGAGCGGCTGGGCCCGTGAGCCATGGCCGCTGAGCCTGCGTGTCTGGAGCCTGTGCTCCGCAACGGAAGAGGCCACAACAGTGAGAGGCCCACATACCGCAAAAAAAAAAAAAAATCAGGCTGGAACCCACTGAGTCTTTATTGTGTCCACTCAGCCAACCTGAGAATTGGGGGCTCCAGGTACGGAGGCAGAACTAGGCCCTGGGACAGCCTGCCCAGCTGGCCCACCACTGTGGACATCATAGGCCCAGACGCGGTCCAGGCCCTCACCCAGTACAGCCACAGGTTGCCAGGTGGGGAGGGGGAAGCGCCCAGACACCACTCGGGCTCCTGCAGGCAACTCTGCCTGTAGCTTGTCCTCCAGCAGTGGGAGCTATGGGGGAGAGGGGAGGTTGGGGTGGGCAGGGTGGAACACAGCTCCCCCTACCCAGCTCCTCCAGGCCCAGCACCTACACTGGGGATGGCTTGGGCCTCCCATGGGGTCAGCAAACCCCAGACCTACCACGCTAGGAGCCAGGAACACAGACACATTGTGGCAGTCCCTCAGGCTCACCTGCAGGAAAAGGAAATTACCCCAGCAGGGATTGGGGCCCCAGCAGGGAGGGAGGTTTGGTGGGCATTGGGTAACTGCAGCTTCCAAGTCCCAGCTCCAGCCTGCCCAGGTGGCAGAGGTACCTGGCACTGTCAGCAGGGTGGCCAAGCTACCAAGCTAGAACCGGAAGCATGAAGATCAAGGGTGGGGTCTGAGAGGGTCCAGGACTCCCTGGATTACCTTCCAGAGGTTCTCACGGCGGTAGCTGACATTGCCCGCACATCCTGCCCTCCAGGCATGCAGCCACGCCAGCCCCACCAGCCACGGGTTTAGCTCATAGCCCACAGCTGGGCGGAGACCGCACTTGTGGGCAGCCAGCACCTGTGGGCACAACGAGCGTCAGGACCAACAGATGGGGCGGTGCGCTCAGGGGAGGGGTCAACAAAGACGCTCCCCAACACACACGAACACGGTCCTTACAATCCTGCCGTCGCCAGAGCCCAGATCCACCATCTTTCCTGGACGGCCTCGCAGCAACGACAACACGTGCTCCACCTGCCTGGCACTCGCGCCAACATAAGGCACCTGTACATGGAAGCAGGCGAGAGTGTGAGGGTGGGGGGCCTGCCTCCTGGGCTTCCATTCTTAGAGTGGCCTGTCCGGTCCTACCTGAAGGAGGTCCCAACCCACAGCCGAATCGGCCCTGGAGTAGCTGCACCGTCCGCCTTAGCGCCACACTCCAGGCCCCGCCCCCAGCCCGGACCCGCCCGGCCGGCAACTGGTCCCCACAAGCCTTGGCCCAGCACCTGCAGCCGCAGCGGCACGCGGCGGAAGCCCGGCTGCAGCAGCAGCGCCCACACGGCGTAGGTGACCAGGCCCGAGCCCGCCGCCACCTGCAGCAGCTCCAACGCGCCTAGCCGCCGCTCGCGCAGCTCCGTCAACGCCTCGGCCGGGTCGTCCTGCTCCATGGCTGCGGGAGAGCGGCTCAGGGTTTCCCCACCTCAACGCCCCTCCCTGGCTCAGGTCCGAGACCCTCATGCCCCGGCCCGGACCTGGAGAGGGCCATCCTCCCCACCGCCCGCGGCCTCCGCGGCGCCCCTACTCCCTGCTCCGCGCCTACCAGATCCGCGGCGCCGCGCCGGAAGAGGCGGACGCGGCGAGACACCGGAAGCGGCCGGGAGAGCCTGAGCAGCCGGTCCGCTCGCGTTCCGCTCCGTCCGGGTCCAGGGACCCTCCCGCGGGTTCCGGACCGCGGAGCCCTGGGGTCCGGGGCTACCCTCGCGGGTTCTGGCCGCACAACATCCTGCCTGTAGCCCGCGTCGCTCAGCCTCGTTGGCCCATGCCGCAGATGGTTGCTGCGGGCCTGTCTTGGGCGCTGCGGACCCCTGGGGCTGCACATCCCAGCGCGGGGAGACGCCCGAGGGAAGCGGTGCCGTGGATCCAGTTGACTGGCAGCGGAGGTCCGTGCGGTGTGGCTGGAGGCCAGGGGCGGCGGTCAGCCCGGGGGGAAGGGCTTACCGGGGAGACGCCGCCCCGCACACCCCGATAGCCAACCAAGCCCAGGAGCAGTCGCGGGGAGGCCACCCGGGCCCCTCCCACGGCTGAAGGCAGCCCGAGTGCGCAGGAAACGCAGGATGCGCAGGCTTCGGCGGGGGCGGTGGGAGTTTGAGCGTGGCTGAGGGGCAGGGCGGAGGGGGTTGATAAGGAGAAATTTAGCAGAACCGAGAAAACAGATGTTGGCTCTCTCTGAGCGTCATGGGAGGGGAGCCGGATGTGAGGTGCTGGGCGCTCTGGCAGCTGGCCCAGTCAGGTGAATGGGAGGAAGAGCCCCAGGAACTGGGGAGACCACCTTCCTTCTCCAGAAAATGTAACACACACAAAGAAAGATTGAGTTCCCGGAAGTGACCTGATGAAGCCTGGGAATGAGAGAGGCAAGTGCGGGGACAGAGCCAGGACCCCCTCCTTACCCCACCCTGAGGCCAAACGTCCTTGAGTGGCAGAGACTTGTCTGCACACAGGCCCTGGCCTGGCTTCTCATCCATCCACGGCATCGGTCAGGAGGGACGGAGGCTGCTTCAGACAATGCAGGCATGCTGGAGACCACTGCCCCCATCCCCAAGTGCAGACTGCCGCACACTTGGCCCCAGCTGTCTCCACTTGGGAAAGACAGGTGTTCCTGTGGCAGGAAACCCCGGTGCCATGCTCCCAAGACCTGAGCACTGGAGCGGAGGAGGGCTGCTCCCCACCCCCATCTCAGAACCTTCTGTCTCCTTCCTGGCTGTCACCTGGCCCTCCCCATAAAAGGAGGATGTGCACTGGGCTTACACAGCATCCCATTCTTGTCTCTTTTGTTCCTTGTATTATTCCTGGTGCTAGAGCAGCACCTGGTACCTAGAAGAAACTCAATAGAAGCGGGTCGACTGAATGAAGGCACCTACCCCGACTCCCCAGTGTGCACACCCAAAAGTCCCTCACCTTCACACCTGCACCCTGCTCCTCACCTTTGGGTACTGGGCACTCGAGTGCATACCTGTGTGAATGCACATGCCCAGAGGTGCCCCAGAGGCACCTGCTCCCATAGCCCCAGCCCTCATGCTCACCCACACCGTTTCCCCTTGGCCACTCCCCTGTGAGCAGGCATGAAGCCCCTGGCCCAAGCCTTCCAGGCTCCTCCCAGAGCACCCTGGGGCTCCTCTGACCCTGTCAGCCACACCCACTTCTGCCCTTTCTGCTCCTTTTGCTGGTTGCAAAGCCAACACTTTCTCTGGAGGAGAGTGTGTGCATAGGAGGCGCTTCCTGGGGCAGGTGGGCAGAGGCCAGTGTCCAGCCTAGGGCCCAGCCCAGAGAAGATGCCCTACATTTTTCTGGACAGATGGTCCCAGAGGTAGTCCACAGTGACCACACTGCGTGTGGCCATGGGCCTCTGTCCAAACAAGGCTGTGGGGAGCTGGCCAGAGAATTAGGGCAAGAGCCAAGGGTGAGGTGCTTCTCAGCGCTGGAGGCGAAACACTCCTCAGGTCGGGGTCTGCATGGGCAGTGCAAAAGCCTCCCAAGATGAAGAGGAGGATGACAGGAGAGCACACTCACCTCCTCCTCCTCTGGTCTTTACTGAGATACTCCCTGGTGGGGGGAGGGGGAAACAGGAATACAAGGGTCTGCAGTCCAGGAGAGAGGTCCAGGCTGGAGATCCAAATGTGGGGTCATCAGCACGTTGATCGTATTTAAAGCCAGAAGGCTGGCCCAGTTCTCCAATGAGGGAATGTCGGAATGTGCGTGGAGAGGAGAGGTCTGGTGCCTGAACTCTGAACAATCCATGGGTGCCGGTTTGAGTTTGGGGACGCGAAAGGGCACAGCAAGGAGCCTCAGGAACAGCAGAAGGTGGAAGGAGCCCAGGGGAGCCTACCATCCAGGATGACTGTGCTCCCACCCACAATTCTCACCAGTCCCCACAGCAAATGGCCCGTCCAAGTGAAAGGAGTGCGTACCCGACACGAGTGTAGCCTTAGACAGCCTGCCCCACGGAAACTCCAGGGCAGCCACTGGAGTGATGCAGTGTTCACACAGGGCGTGGCAACATGAGGTACCTATATCAGCCGAATCTGGCAGAAGTGGCCCTGTGTATCCTTGTTCCTCTCCCAGCCTCAGTTCCTGCCTGCAGGATGGCAGGGCCCCTTCTCCAGTGAGGGCTGCCAGGCAGAGATGGGAAGTTGTTTCTGGGGCTCAGCCCAGGCACCCCACCAGATCTGAGCTGTGGCCCTCTTTTCCAGGAGCTATGGGTCTGGGTCAGCAGAGTCAGCTCCCTCTGGGCTCAGTAGTCCCACGTGCACCCCCATCCTGGGGCCTTTCAGCCTCAGGGCTGTCAGCTTTGTCCAGACCGCGCTGGCCCTTTATGTGGCTGAGGCTGGAGAGGAAGGCGGGGGCAGCGACAATGAGGCCAGTGGCGGGAAACGGTCCTTAGAGACCCCATTGTGTGCCCCCGCCCACTAGAAATGGGCAACAAGCAGGACCCTGCAGAAGAGACCCCACAGCTGTCAGGATGCTGGGCACGTTGCAGGGGCCTGTGGACAGAGGGGCCCATTCTTCCCCAGGGGCAGAGTGGGGCCAGGATGACTCTGCTGGGCTTGCAGTGAACCACGCGGGGAAGTCGGTGGCCCGCCAGATTGCAGCCCCTTCCCTCAGGTTGGGAGTGGTGTCGCCTGCCTCCCCCTACAAAGGCCTCCAACCACCTCAGACCTTGGGTGTTATGGCTCCTTTTCCACTCCCACTCTGAGAAGTGGAATCACCTGGCATTGGGGGCAGCAGAGCTGAGGGTGACGTGAGTGGGGGTCCCTGCATGCCCCCACCCAGCAGCAGCCCCTCTCCAGGGCGTGGGCTGGGTGGCCTTAGACATGGCACCACTGCCCCAGAGCATCAGTCTCTGGCTCTGTGAAGCGGTAACTGGGCAGTGCCCGGGGCTGTGGGAGAATAAAATGAAGTGAGGCAGGCCCAGGGCTGGGCTCAGGCACGAGCACCCGATGCACATTGGCTAATGCAAGCTGCGTTCTTATTGGTTATTGCTGTTACCTCGGAAGCAGTTGGTACTGTGATGCCATCTGGAGGTCACCTCCCCACCCTCCTACCCGCCCCTCCCCAGCACCCTGCTCCCAGGCCCCTCAGTCCAGCACCACCTCACAGGGGTGGAGGTGGTCAGCATGGGCAGCCGTGTAGGCACGGCTGAATTCCTGGAAGCGGGGTGCACAGCCCAGCCAGGCCTCACCGAAGCGGCTCCAGCCCATGAAGAGGAAGGTGCCAGGGCCAGGGTGGACGCCACAGTGCAGTGGGGTGCGAATGGAGGCCTGCGCCTGGCCCCCAGGGCCCCCCACCCGGAACAGCGGCAATGTCTGGCGGAGGACACGGGCGGCGGCCACGGTGATGACAGACTCCTGCAGCTCTGTGTCATGGGCAACCCCGTGGATGGTTCCATGGACCACTGTGGGGACACATGTTGGACAGTGGCATTCAGGGGAGGGCAGGCCCCTGGCTCGCCCCACAGCAGGGACACTCACCAAAGTCACTGGTGCACACGGCCAAGAGGAGCTCGGCATCACTGCAGGGTCTGCAGGCACCTGGCATGCAGGGGAGGTCATGAGTGGCAGCCCTGACCTCTCCAGGACTACCCGAGCCCTTCCCCAGCTGGACACAGGATAGAGAGGGCAAGCTACCAGACCCCCCTAAGGGCCTGATGGCAACTGGGGGTCTCAGGGACCATGTGTACACACCCTGAAGACACCCTGTACTTGGGGTGACACTGCAGGCTCGTGCATGCATCACACACGTGCACAGACATGGGCCTGGGGGCTGTGCCCAACATGCAGGCACAAAGACCCACCGAGCTGGAGCTCAAGGGTCTGGGTGCACGAGGCACATGCTCTTGAACACCCATCTCACAGGCAGCACCAGCACCCTTGGTCTCCCAGAGCTGCTTCCTGGGGCCCAAAGTCACCGGCCCAGCCCACGTGGCAGGAGGTTATGGTGGATTCGAGGGTCAGGAGACAGAGCAGAGACCCCCCATCCCCTGTGAGGTTAGGCTCCAAGCTCCAGGAGAGCAAAAAGCTGGGCCTGGTGCCCTGCCGGGAGGCGGGGCTGCATCTCCATGGTGACCGGGCTCACAGTGGACTTCTGTTGTATTGGGCTGGGGGAGGGGAGGGAGGTCACCGCTGGGCCAGGGAGCCCTGGACAGCTTTGGCCGTCATCCCCTCCCCCAACCCTTCAGGGACCAGGGGCCCGGGTTGCCCTGCCCGGCCTCCCCTTCCGGGATTCTGCCCTCTGTCAGCAATTTCCCTAACCCGCAAGGTGAGGGATTGCCCCTCCCCCCCACCTGTCCTGGCGCTGCTACTCACTAGCTGTGTGCCTTTGACAGGCTGCCTCGGTTTCTCCCTCTATGCAGTGGGGAGGACAGGCAGGTTCCCACCCAGCGAGGCCAGGAAGCGACTTCCCGACTCCCACCTGTCCCCACCCAGGCCTGCACTCACCATCCGCACTGAGGCCGTGGGCCTGCGGAGGCAGCTCTGGACGCCCGTCCTCCCGCAGTTCGAAACGGAAGGAGGCCACGCGACGGCTGATGTCGGGATGCGGGGTGGCCTGCAGGAAGAGGGCCCGGCGCTCGCGGGGACCCCAGCGCACGCATCGGCCCCCGGCCGGGCCTGGGCCCTCGGCCAGCAGCAGCTCCAGCACGCCGCCCGCCCGCTCCGCGAAGACTTGGGCGCCTGCGAAGGGCCGCGCCGGCCGCAGGCAGGCGATGCCGGGCCGCACGCCGGGGTCGGAGCCGCCCAGGGTGAGGCGCAGCGCCCCGGCCGGGTACAGCCACTCGATCCCGCCCTCCGCACAGGCCAGGGCGAGCTGTCCCACGCTGCCGGGCTCCTGGGTCAGGCCGCTGCGGACCGGAGGGTCGGTGCTGAGGCGGGCGGCCGGCGTCCACACCCGGCCAGCCCGCTTCCGCTGCACCCTCTCCCCGCAGCCATCAACAGCTGCGTCCACTTTGTGGAGAGGAAACTGAGGCCCAGCGTTCTGGGACTCGGCGGGGGGCGGGGAGGGCAAGGATTCGGTGCCGGGACGGAACGCCCCCATCCCAAAGGGCTGGCGACACATCTTCCAGCCCCCTCCTAAGGGGTGCGCAGAGTCCCAGGGGGTTGACCCGCGCGGGGGTCCAGTGGGGCTCGTACCTGCCCCTCCAGCTGCAGCGGTCCTCCGAGTAGCCGGCGCGGGCGGCCGTGGCCAAGAGGCCGAAGCAAAGGGCGCAGAGCAGCGCCGGGGGCGGCATGGCGCGCGGGGACGCGCGGGGGCGCGGCGGGAGCAGCCGGGGCGTTGGCCCCGGCCCCGCGCAGCCCCCACCGCCCGCGCCTGCCGGCCGCCCACCCGGCCGGGAGCCTGGAAGCTGCCGGGAGGCAGTGGGCGGGCCGAGCAGCCAATCGCGCCGCGGTGCCCGAACTTTCCACCAATTGCAGCGGCGCTCTCGGGGGTGGGAGGACCAGCCCGTGGCCCAGGAGGCGCTGGGGAGGGGGCTCCACGGCCGGACGTGTTCAGTGTCACCTCCTCGAGGTACCCCCCTACTTCCCCCGCCAACCCCCGCCTCCAGCCTCGCCTTGCTTGCAGTCCTGGTCGGGCCACTGTCCTCCAAGCCCTTGGCCAGGGTGGGGGTGGTGCCCACTGGAACCTCTGGGGGAGGGGAGTTCATCTGGGTGGCTCTCTCCAAGACTGGTACCTAGGCTTCCATCCCCCATCTCTCCCTAACCTGGCCCTGGTGACTTCCCACAGGCCACGCGGTAACCCAGCGATGAGAGTCCAGGCACTGGGGCTGCAGGCACCGTGGAAAAGCAGGAGCAAGGACAGCCCTGAGCCCCAGAATCAAGCCCCTAGTAGGTCGGGACAAGCTGAAACGGGGCCCACTCTCATAGAGGAAACCCCGCCCCCAATGCCAATGTGTAGGCTAGGGAGGAGGTGGGCAGTAGGTTGTCAGATGGGGACTGGAGAGAATGCCAGACAATGGGGAGGAGCAGACAGCCTTGGCCAAGGCCCTGAGGTGTGGACCCGGTGGATGGGACCCAAGAGCCTGGTGAAACCGTGGGGTCAGATTACAGAGGCCTTAGGCACAAACCCAGGACTCCAACCTCACACTGGAACCCTTGAGATCACTGAAAGCTTTAGCTGACATAGACTCTCTGCCGCCTGTGGGTGTGAAGGGTTTTTTTTGTGTTTTTTTTTTTTGGCTGTATTTGGGTCTTTGTTGCTGTGCGCGGGTTTTCTCTAGTTGCAGCGAGCGGGAGCTACTTTTCATTGTGGTGGCGGGCTTCTCTTGTTGCAGAACACAGGCTCTAGGCACGTGGGTTTCAGATGTGGCACACGAGCTCAGTAGTTGTGGCTCGCGGGCTCTAGAGTGCAGGCTCAGTAGTTGTGGCGCACAGGCTTAGTTGCTCCGTGGCACGTGGGATCTTCCCTAACCAGGGCTTAAACCCGTGTCCCCTGCATTGGCAGGCGGATTCTTAACCACTGCGCCACCAGGGAAGCCCGGATGTGAAGTCTTTACCCCACTGTCCCCCCACCCCAGCCCTCCTGCTGCCCTGGGCCAGAAGTGCAGGCTGACAGATGAAGGCAGATAGCGCCAAGGGGAAGGGAGGCATTGGAGCCGCTGCCAGACTGAGCGTACCACTGCCCCCTCCCCTGGCTCCAGGGCCCTTCAGGGCCAAAGAGGGGCAAGGCATCCTCAGGGCTCAGCTGGCCCCTTGCCCTGGGCAAGGTGCGGTGGGAACCAGCCATCAATCACGATAGCCCAAAGGTGGACACAAGCCAAGTATCCATTGACAGATGATGGGTAGACAAAATGGGGTCTATCCATACCGTGGAATATTATTCTGGTTAAAAAGGAAGGAAATTCTGCCACATGCTACAACATGGATGAACCTAGAAGACATTATGTTCAGTGAAATAAGCCAATCACAAAAGGACAAATATAAGTCTATTCATTTGAAGTACCTAAAATAGCCAAATTCATAGAGAAAAATTAGAATGAAGGTTGCCAGGGGCAGGGGGATGGGGAATTGGTGTTTAATGGGGACAGAGTCTTCAGTCTGGGAGGCTGAAAACGTCCTGGGGATGGTGGTGATGGCTGCACAACAGTGTGACTGTACTTGACACTCCTGCACACTTAGACATGGTTAAGATGGTAAGTTTTATGTGTATTTTACCCAATTACAAATTTAAAAAGGGGTACACAGGGCCTGGCGCTGGGCACATAGAAGGCAAAAGAGGCCCCACTAGAAGGAAGGGAGCGGGCACCCCCGTCAGCTGCCCTTGCTGAGACAGTGGGTCCACTTCTGGCGGGTCACTGGGGCCCTGACTGCTCTTGCATAGGCCTGGGAGGCGGACAGTGGGCTCCAGGCGCCCTCTGGTGGCAGTGTGAGGAGTCAGCCTCAGCCCCACCTCCCACCAGTCTGGGGCCCCTGGCTCCCCACCCTCCTCCTCCCCCGGAAAATGGGCTAGTGTCCGTGGGTGCCTGGAAGGGGTTCCTAAAGGGTGACCTAGTCTGGAAAGGACTGAGCTGTGGCCCCCTCAACACCAGGCTTCCCCTGCCTTCTGCCGCAGCTGATTCTTCAAGGGGCCCAATGGTGATGCTGTCACCCACAGAAGACCACAGAAGGCTGCCTCTCCTCACAGCTCCTGGCCCCACGCCCTGTGGGTGCTTCCCTGAAGCACCCAGTGGCATAAGCCATCAGAGGTCTGCCACCCACAAGACACGGCGCCCAGAAGGCCACGCCTGGCCTTGCTTGCTGCTGGTGCCGGAGCAGACATGCTCAGTAAATAACCTGGAGAGTAAATGCATGGATCGATGAATGATACCCCAAATCTCAGGTAACTCCCTCAACATCTGTGCTCAGTTTGGAGGCTCCTTCAGCCTTTGGAGTGCCCCCAGCTCCAGACCCTTCAGTGCCCTGACCCTCCAAAATGGGCTTCTCTGCATTTCCACTCAAAACCCAAGTCCTGGCAGAGGACTGGAGCAGATGCTGGGACAAGGAGCAGTCCAAGTGAGCCCTGCCCTCCAGCAGGGGAGGCAACCCCACAGGGTAAGGGGCACAGATGAGGAGCACATGTGACCGAGGGGGGCGCTGGGCTGGTCCCGGGCCGGTGGGAGCAACACAAAGGCCAGACAGAGGCAATGGGGGTGGAGGGATGGGAAGAGTGCCCCAGGTCTGGATGGAGCTTAGGGCCAACCAGGGACAGGAAGCTGGCCAGTGGGAGGTGGAACTTGGCTTCGAGGGGACAGTGAGCCTAGCTCTTGAGGAAATGGTGAGAAAGCCCAAAAGGGTCAAGTTCTCCCAATTGTCCAAGACTTCCCACTTGGGCTCCCATTTCAGCAGAAGTGGGGGAGAGGGAGAGATGGGGGCTAAGCAGAGGCCAGCTCAGCCTTGCCCCGAGCTGAGTCTGTGGCCGCCCAGGCCCCTGCAGCCAGGACCTCTTGAATGTGTGCTCTAGTTGGCCCAGAGCAGGGCGCTGCACCCCTTGCGGGGGCTGGGAGCATGGGAGCAAAGGACAACGGGGACAGTTCCCACAACTGAGAGCCAAGGGTGCCAGGAAGCTGCCACCAAGTGACACGCTCCAGTGGTGCCCACCATGAACACTGGCCTGGAATGCTCCTGACCAGCCTGACCTAGGGAGCCCTAGGGTGCTGGAGTGACCAGCCCTCCCAGAGACCCCATCAGGGAGACAGTCATATCTGCCAACTCTTCCCAGCAGCCTGAGCTAGTTCCGCTTCACCTGCACACACCCCCACCTCCACTCCCAGGTGGAATCTGGCCTTGCCCACCTATGAGCCTGTACCTTGGGACACATGACAAGTTTCCTCCCTTGATGAGAAATCCACCCCCCTCCCCGCCCCACATACACCTTGCATCTTCTCTAGGAGCCAAAAACGCAGCTGCAGACTGATTTGCAGCTGAGCTAAAAATAACTGCCAGGCTCCAGCCAGGGCCCGGGAAAATATCCCATTGCTAGGAGACGTTACTGGGAGACCGCCATTGCTAGGCAACAGGGTTGCCATGGTGACAGCTGGGCCCTGAGTCATCCTCAGCCCCGGCTGCTCCACCCCCCTGCCCCTGGTGAGTCGGGCCTGCGTCCCAGGAGGAGGGAAGGCAGGAAGCAGAAGCTAGAAGCAGCAGAGAGGCCTGCTGCCCACCGCCCGCCACCCACAGCTGCCAGGGCCACCCCACGCTGCGAGGTTCTCACTTCTGTGGGCGCCCATCTGGCTTCGGTGGTGAGGACTGGCAAACACACTTGTGGCCTTCCCACCCCACATGGTTCCCTCCCCAGGCACTCTCGGGGCTCCTGCCTCTGGGTGGGGAGCAGAGGCAGTGAGGGGCCCAGTGTCCATGTGGCCCCGCAGCTTCAGAGCAGGAAGCTTCAGAGCCGGCCTAATCACTAGGGAGCACGAGGCTCTCACCACCTGTGCTGCACTAGGATCTTCAGGGCAACCCCTTGGACCCCAGACTCATTTTCCAGGCAGGGAACTACTTGTCTGAGGCCCCATCCACAGAGAGGAGATTTGGGCCCAGGCATGTGGTTCCAGGGCACACATATCACCCCAGAACTCCCAAGGAAAGGCCTGAGGACCTCCTGTGAGGAGCTTCAGGGAGTTTTAGAGCCACTGCCCCAGGCCTCCAGAGCCATGAGGGTGACCTCCATGGTGAGAAGCCCCACTCCCTGATGTGACAGTGGCTCCCTCTCTCATAGCCTTCCAAGGTCTCAGATCCTCACCCCCTCATGCTCCAGAGCTGGAAAGCCCTTGCTGCCTGGACTGGGGAGACTCCTCCATGCCTAGGCATCAAGACAAGGGGTGCACCAGTTGAGGGGTGAAGGTACTCCAAGTGAGGGGATGCTCCAGGTGAGGGGATGCTCCAGATGAGGGGTGCTCCAGGTGAGGGGATGATCTAGGTGAGGGACATGGTGCCCTCCTGGCCCTGGAGGGAGGCCAGTGTAGCTGAGACTCCAAGAGCAAGGGGCCAGGTACAGGGCAAGGCTGTGGGCTGGCAGTGCCAGAGACTCAGGGCTTTGCAGGCTTCAGCAAAGAGCAGAGGGAGCCCTGGGAGCACGCGGTCCGCATCTGCACTGTAAAGTGACCCCCCTGCACCTGGGAGAACAGGTGGGGGCAGAGGTGAGCAGGGCACAGGTGTTCAGGAGGCCCCCACAGAGTACGCATGTCCCTCTGAGCAAGAGCTCTTCACTCAGATTCTCCCAAGGCAGGTGGCCTCTCAGGCCCCTTTGAGGGCATAACTTGCTCTCTGCCTGGGGCCCTGGCACTGCTGAGGGGCAAGAGCCCCTCAAAGTGCAAAGTGAAGTCCTGCCTACCAGTCAGGGCGCTGTCCACATCGGGGTCCAGGCCGACCCATGCATGCTCTCATGGGGTGGAGGCTGAGCACACACTGGACGTTACCCGATGGGTCAGACAACACTCTCCCGGTCACTCCGAAGTCTTCACGCACCCCCTGCCTGTCCCACCAAGCCTCCCCCTTTGATCAGTGTCAGCAGGATGGTGACTCTTAAGTCCCTGCCACACAAAAGAGCTGCCTTCACCCCCACCGGCGTCCCACACACAGCCAGAGTAGCACCCCCCAAACCAGCCAGGGACAGGCCAGGCTGCTCCCCCTCCACTGCCCTCACCTCACACCAGCCCCACTGGGTCCCGCTTCCTGTCAAAATGTTGCAAACAACAGCTGGTTTCATTTTCTGTTAAGGCTCTGGGGGGCGGGGGTGCTGCCTCTCTGCCCTGAGGCTCTTTCCCTGGTGTGAAAACCCAGCTTTGCTCTCCCTGCACCTGGTCCTTCTGCCTTCTCCACTCCCAGGAGGTCCCAGGATGGGCGATATTAGCCGCTGTCCTCTGCCCTGAGCCTGCTGGGAGGCCTGGCATCCCCAGTGGCCCAGACAGAGCCCTCCACACCCTCCCGCCAGACCCCACTGCCCCCCACCCAGCCTGCCCTATAGAGCTGCCACCACCGAGGCCTGCAACCCATTCCAGAGGGAACTTGCCTGGCTCCTTAGGCCTCAGGACCTTTGCACATCCCTTCCTGAACAACTTCGTCTGCCCTCTCACCCTTGGGGCACTCAGTTTAAGCGTCTTGTTTTCAGGAGCCCCACTCCCACCACCAACCTCGCGCGGTCGCCATCACGTGACCCTCTTGAACGTTCACCGCACTCGTCACTCTCTGAAATGATCTACTGGTCTCTTGTTTCTCGGCTCTGCGGGTGTGCAACTGCGCTCCTCACTGAGAGAGGTTCCTGGGCCTGGCACCCCGCAGGTGCGCGGGAGATGCGAGGGCCGCTCAGGGGGCCTGGCCACCGGCTCCGCAAGAGGGGCCAGGAGGGGGAGGGTCGGACGGCCGGCGCCCAAAAGCTCGAGTCCTCTCCGCCCCGCAGGATTCGGGGTCCCCACAGCTCCGCAAAAGGCAGGGCTCGCTCCACCCGGCTCTCCCTTTGCGCGCCCGGCCCTTCCTTCGCCTTCCTCCCTCTCCCGCCCTCCCCTGCCCTCCTCTCCCCTCCCCGACCCGCCGTGCGCCAGGGTTTGTTATTGTGCGGGCGCCCGCGGCGAGGGGAAGCGGGGGTGAGGTCCGGGCTGGCGCGTGCCCGTGCACGCCGCCGCGGGAGCGCGCTCTGCGCGCGGTAGGGCGCGGCGGGGCTCAGCATCCTCAGCGCCCCCGCCCGGGCTTGCCAACCCGGATTGGCTACCGGCAACGGGGGCGCGCGAGGGAGCGGCGCGTAAGGCCGGGCGGGGGGCGGGCGCGGCGCCGCCGGCGGCCGGGGAGGAGCGCGGGGAGGAGGGCAGAGGAGGAGGGCGGGGAGGAGGAGGGCGAGGGGAGGGAGGAGGCGCCCGCCCGGCTCCCTGCAAAGCGGCCTTATTTATCTGGGCACAGCCTCAGCCTCCCTGGTGGGAGGCTCGGGGCGGCCGATCCTCTCCCACCCGGGAGCTCTTCTTCGAGGCGCGGCAGAGGGGGCCCGGCCAGGCCGGGCGCGGGGCGCGGCCGGGCCCTGCCTGCCAGACCAGCACCTCGGCCGCCTCCCCGCTTCGCCGGTGCCCATGCCGGGCTCCCCATGACGGGAGGACGCCCGGTGGACAGCGTGGCATGAGCCAGGAGCCCGGGCCCAGGTAAGGTGTGTGTGCCGGGCCAGGCTTACAGGGCGGGTAGGGGGCCAGGCCACAACACCGCGGAGGCCACAATGAGGACGACGCGGGGAGGGGGCTTGGGACAGCGTCGCCGCCACCCCCGGAGGGCTTACGTAACCGCAGCCCCTTCCCTGGCTGCTGCAGCTGGGCCTCCAGCCCTGCCAGGCCTTCCCGCAGCCCTTCACCCCAGTGGCTGGCCTGGTCGAGGCTCGATCCCCATGGCAACTGGACCAAGGCTGGGGGTCGGTGCCACGGTGCTGTGCCCCTGTGGAAGCCGAATTGCAGGACCCCAGTTGGGTTGGCTGGGTGAGGTCCTGGACCCCACTGCACTCTGGGCTCCCCACCCCAGCACCATTAGCCCCTGCCCCTGTGAGACAGGTGTTATATACAATTACACTCCAGGAGGAGCTTGTGAACGTGTGGCCCGGTGGCTGATCTGCCTCTGGACACCTGAACCTGGCCCTGTTTGGAGCTGCCACAGTGGGAAGACGAGGCGAAGGGAGGGGGCTGGCCACGTGCCTGGCTCTGGAGGAGGGGTTGGGCGATGTCCAAGGCTGAAGGGCCCCAGAAGGAGAACTGGGCACCCTGAGACTGCTGGGGGAGGGTCTTGTCCTTCTGGGAGTTTGAGTGGGTGGGGAGAGTCCCCACCCATGACCCCAGAAGGAGAGAAGGCCTGGTTGTTGGAGCCCAGTGGCCACTCCTCCAGCCCCTCCCAGCCTCTGCACAGGAAGCCTTCCCTCCACGGAGAGGGCAGACGCCACATGCTGCTTCACCTGCCGCCTCCGAGGGCCCACTGACCAGGGTCAGCTCAGGCCTCCCCGGGGCCACGTGGGGCATGGGGCCCTTTCTTCCAGCAGGCTCCTTTGAGAGATACTGGACAGCAGCCTTGGAGCAGAAGGCCTGAGCTAGCTCAGGACCTTGAGAGGTTTGGGGTCCCACAGGCCAGGGCAGAGGCCTGATGGAGACCCACTGGCTTGGCAGGAGGTGGCCATAGGGCTGGACCGAGTGCTATCTGGGGAGGAGGGAAATTCAAGCCCCAGTCATAAACACTGGCACAGCAGGGAGGGCTGTTCAGCCCTCAGGGACCCCAGGATTCATCTGGCCCAGTGCCTGCCGCGTCCACAGCCTGGCCTGGCTCCCCCACCTCTACCACCCCTCGCCTTGGGAGGCCTATGGGCACCTCTAACGCTGGGGAGGTTCATGGGACAGATGCCACCCTGCAGCTCACACCCGCTTCCAGGGCACTTGCATGAGTCCTGTTTCCCACTGCTCAAAAGGAAACAAGTGGCCCCGAGGTCAGGGCACCTGGGACACTCAAGACAGCTGGGCCTCAGGCAGGCCTTCTCAGCCAGGGAGACACCTCACCTGGAGGTCGGGGAAGGGGTTCCTTGGCTGGCGCTGTCAGCTCTCCACAGCCCCCATCTTGTCACACGTGGGAGCTTGCTGCTGCGTCTCAGAGGGCTGGCTCAGGGGAAGAGCGACGGTGGCAGCAAAGGAAGCACTATGGGGTAAGTGGGTGGCCCAGAACCTTCCTTACCAGTGGCCCGGGAGGAGCCTTAGCCAGACCAGCTGCAGAGGGTGGGCTCAGGCCACATTCCTTCCCTTGGCAGTGTTTGAGGCACTAGATGCCCCAGGCCTAGGCCCTGTGGGGCTCAGGTCCTTCAGAGCAGAGAGGCCAAGATGAGGACTGAAGCCCAACACCCACCCCCGAGGCACCCGGCCCCACATGGCTGAGCTGCCCTGAGTTTGGCCTCAGGACTTGGTCTGCTGAGCACCAACTCAGGTCTCTCCTGAGGCCCACGTGCTCCCTTCCCAGAGCCCCCAGTGCACGGGTGGGGCAGCCCGCACCCCAGAAGCATCTCCGAGCTGGGGGCGGGAGGGGAGCGCTGCTGCTAGGACGTGTGCAAAGTGGCAGGGATGTGAATGTGCCTGAGTCACAGGGCTTGTCATGGAATTTGTCAGCCTGCGCTGTGTCCCCAATCCCAAACTATCCTAGTTGTCACCCCAGCCCCTGGGGCCAGCACTGCAGATCGACCTGATGTGAGTTTTTCTGGCTACCAATGCCCTGCCCAGCTCCATGGTCTTCAGCTAGCAGGGAGAACTGGTCAGTGCAGGTTCTACTGGGGCCGGGCCCCCCAGCATCCAGGGCACACTGCATTACGTGGGGGTATCAGGGATGGAGGAAGAGACCTCTGAGCTTAGGGCCATGAGGAGTGGGGGGTTTCCTGGGCATGAGCAATCTAAAAGAAGAGTGTGCCAGTGGTTGACATCAGCTTGCAGCCTCTGGAAGGAGCACAGGGGCATGACAGGGGCACGCTGGGAGAGACCCCAGCGGAGGGACCCAGGCTGGAAGGGCACAGGGACTGAAGCAGAACAGAGCAGAGAAAGGAGGCAGCAGCAGGCTGGTGGGGGCCCGGGACTGCCCTCTGGACCACCATGCCTGGCCTGAGTCTTGGGGTCAAATCCCAGCTTTGTACAACTTCTGAAAATTCACTCTCCGAGCCTCTCTCTCCCCACTTGTGGTCAGGCAGTGTTTGATGGGCTCAGACCAGCAGTGGGTGGAAGGGGGGGCACGTGGTGCTGGGAAGAGCAGACCAGGCTTCCCTCCCTTCTGGTGCTTCCTGTCCCCTGCCCCCCAGGTCTGGCCAGATTATGGGGAACAGGCATCCAGCTTCCTTAACTCTGCAGCTCTCGGGGTGGGGGGGAACTCAGTCAAAAAGGAAACATGAGCCGTCCTCTTCCCAAAGGTCAGAATAACGGCAAGGCCCACCCCAAGCCCCAGGGTCTTGGGAGCCTTCTCAGGGACTCTGGCACCAACCCCTCCCTCCCCTATGGACACTGGCCTCTGCCACCAGGACTGACAAGCTGAGCTACAGCTTCTCCACTGACTGCCTTCCGTCCCGCCTCCTGGGCCTCTGTCAGCTGCACCCCTTTCTGCATGACCCTGATAAATGGACTGCCATTCTTTTCATTCAGCAAGCACTCAGAGGCCACTCAGTAGTCACGCTGTCTGTCCTCAAGGAGTCCCCAGCCAAGGAGAGGCAGACAGGTAGACGGTGATGATAATGCACGTGATGGCGGAGACTCTGGTTATGCTTCCCCGGTGCTGGGGGTCCCCCAGGGAGGGGCAGGGGCAGTGCTCACACTGAAGGATGGCAGCGAAGGAGCTGGCAGGGTTACGGAGCAGGGAGGCCTACTGAGCAAGCAGGGGGACCAGCATGTGCCCAGGCAGAGAGGGGAGGGGAGGAGGAATGCAGGACAGAGGGTCTGGCTGAACTGTAGGGTCAGGACGAAAAGGGGCTAGAAGTGAGGCTGTGAGGTGGACTTGCTGAGTCTTGGGGCCCAGTGACCTGACTTGCAGGAGAGGCAGCTCCTTATGAAGCCCCAGCATGGCAATCTGCAGACCCTTAGCCTGGAAGCCACCAAGGTCTGGAGTCCTCCCGCGAGCCCCTGGGACCCCCCCATGCTTCACATGAGTCTGCTGGGGAAACACAGAGGCATGGTTAGCTCTCCCAAGTGGCACCCTGATCCAGCTCTGGCTCAGGCTGATGAGGACAAGACAACTAAAGTAGTGACCATCACCTCCCTCCTTCTGGGGTGAACCCAGGACCCTCGAGCCCCTGCAGCCTATCCCAGGAGGAGGCCTCCCCCAGAACTCCACTCCACACAGAGACACAACACACCAGGGGCTGAGGCTAAGAATAGTGCAAGCCTGACCATCTTATTTTAAAAGCCTCTTTTCCTGGCGTTAGCTTCTCGTGCTTATCCCTAAAGGGGAAGTAGTCCCCAGCGGACTGGCAGCTGCCCCTGCCCCATCCTGGCAGGAAAATCCAAGCAGGTCCTCCTAGCCCCACTGGGGGCAGCGGGGGCAGGTACCAAGAAGGTGGGAGGCTCTGCAACCCGTCTGGCTGGGGGGGTGGGGCCAGGGTCAGGGCCAGGCAGAGGGGCCCTCATCCCAGCCCCCCAGGGACCTCTTGCCTAACTGGCAGGCAGACCCATTTCCAAAGTGAACAGTGAGCATTCTCCCAAAGCCCTGACCCCTGGGCTAATGTGTGGCTGTTTCTAGTTTTGAGCTAAAGAGCCAGGGCTCAGGCTGGGTGAGAGGCTTAAGGATGAGGAGCAGCTGTAGCACAGGAAGACCGTGGACAAGGCTGGGGAGCAGCAGGGCCGCCTCTGTGGGAAGGCAGCTCCAACCCAGGGCATATATGGGGGGGTGGTGCTGACCAACAGGCTGACCAGTGCCTTCTGGCCGGGGATGGGGTGTGGGATGAGGGGCAGTCAGGCCTTGGACACGCCTCACAGGCTGCTGCGGGCCATCTTTGGCATGGCCCCTCCCTCCTGTGTACTCTTTTCCATGGGCCAGTTCCACCCTGAGGTCTGGAGGGTGGGGATGGGACTGTGGGTGTATGCAAATGTGAGCTCCTGTGGGGGACGGGAAGGGAGCCCCGCAGATGCCCGGGGCATACACGTGATCCCCCCAACTCAGGCGCTCCACGTGCACACCCATGGCTGGGAGAATTTTCAACCTAAATCGGCACTGCTCTTGAGTTATTTCTCCCCTGGTGCCGCCTCCGCCGCCTCCTCCTCCGGATCTTAGCCGAGCGGGCGTCTCCTCCCCCCGCCCCACACCCCAAGCCTCCAGGGCCCCTCCCAGCTCCAACTGAACTGGGTTTGCCGGGCCGTACCCCTCCCTACCCCACCCCGCCGCTGTCCGTGGTGGAGCGGGCCGGGACTGGCGTGGCCTCCTAGCCCGCGCGAGGCGGCTGGAGGGGCGCTGTCCATGGTGCTGCCTCCGGGCGTCAGGCCGGCCGCGCCTGCTCTGCGGAAAGCCGGCGTGCCCTGCTCTGGGGACACAGAAGGTATTCAGGCTGGGGCTACCCCTCTGTACCCAGCACAAACCGCAGGAGGGAGTTGCCAGGATAGCCTCTCCACTGGCCCCAGTAGTGGGGCAGGGGCAATTGTGGGCTTCATCCTGTCCCCCATGAGGCACTGCTGTCCCAGGATGGTCCCCTCCTATGTACTGGCATTAAGCAATATCGGGCAGCCCTCATGTCAGGCCACTCCTGCCACTGTGGGCCAACTGTACCTCCTGGGAACCTCCGGTTCCTAATCTGAAAACGGTGGTAACAGTAGTGCTTTCCCCTGTGCCCCCCACCCAGGCTGCTGTAAGGTTGAAATACACAATTATCCCAGTGGGCATTCAGCAAATGTTGTCAGGGATGTCGTGTATCAGCCAGTGTGAGGCTGCTACTACCCGGTCATGAGCTGTAGTGAAGGGGCAGTCAAGGTGTGGGAGCCTCCTCGGGGGAGGGAGGCCCTGGGGTGGACTGCCAGCCTGAAAGTTCATGGCTACCAGGGCAGGAAGGCCTTTGGACCCAAAGCTGGTTGGCAGCCATGAGGGCCACATGTTACAGTAAGACCCTTGGACCCAGCCCAGGATGCACCCCCTCCCCAGGTGTGGAATACTGGCAAGTGTTGTCCTGTCCAGGGCTTGGACGCCAGTGGAGGGTGTGGTACTGGGAAGAGCAGGGCAGGACCACTGGCTCCCCTCCCTCCTGGGGTCTCCTGTCCGCTCACCCTTTGGCCAGCAAGCTCACTATGAGCCATGCACTGCACGTAGTCCTTGTCACATGCTGTCCCGTGGAGCAGTATCGTCACTTCCCAGGCTTTGAAGTGAGGAAAGTGAGGTTTGGGGAAGGAAGTGGCTCCCCAAAGCCACATAGCCAGAGTGGGGTGAGCCACTGGGTATGCTGCCTCCTCGCTGAATGTCTGAGGTGGGGATGGGCAGGAGATCTGGAATGTGGGACAGATGGTAGCGCTGTGGGGGTCCTGCTGCCCCTTCTCTCCAGGTTGTCTGTGCCCAGTGCCCTCTGCCACCCATTCACAGCCTTGGAGGCCTGAGGAGGGGAGCTAGGGGTTGGTCTCAGCCCCCACCCTATGGGAAGCTCCCTACACATAGCCTTCCACAGCCAGCTCAGTGTCCATGTCTTGGCTCCACCACTTACTATGACCTCAGGCAAGCAACTCATGCTGCCTCAGCCATGATTTCCTCATCTGTACAGTGGGTACAGTCATCGTCCTCAGTGGGTTGAGTGGAGGATTAAAGAAACAGTATGTGTGCAGGGCTCACTGTGCTGGCATCACGGTAAGCACCCTGGGAAGACACCTGCCCTTTCTCTCGGTAGATTCTGAGCCACAGAACCTCCTGTAGCCACTGAGATTCTCAGAGGCTGGTATGTGAGTCTCAGATGGCTTACTCAAACCACTCCAGACAGCTACGCTGGCACCCCATAGAGGAGTGGCCAGAGAATGCCCCAAACCCTCAGTTCCCCAGCCCCTGTCCAGCAGAGGCAGGCCTGGCAGACATTGATGGTGAGCAGCAAAGGTAAAGGGAGCAGTCATGGGCGAATGTCCCTCCATCTCTGTTCTGTCATCTGTAAAATGGGAGCCATAGTGCCTAGGTATCGAAAAGCTCTGTGAGTGGGTGGAGGTTGAGCTCAGTGCATACAGTAGGTGCTCAAGGAGTGTCGTGGTCATGACCAGCCCTGCCTTCCTGTAACTGCTCAGTCAGGGAGGGAGGGACTTACACTCAGATCCTTTCTGTTGGGTGGTTCTGGGAATGGCATGGGAGGGGACGCCCATGGATGGAAAGGAGTTCAGTTCTGCCCTGGCAGCAGACTCACTACCCTCTCTCCTGGACACTGTCTGCAGACCGAGCGAGGAAGATGTCGAGCCCGGGCGTCGACGGCGACCCCAAGCCTCCATGCTTGCCTCGCAATGGCCTGGTGAAGCTGCCAGGCCAGCCGAACGGCCTGGGCACAGCCAGCATCACCAAGGGCACGCCGGCTGCCAAGAACCGCCCCTGCCAGCCACCCCCGCCCACCCTCCCACCACCCAGCCTGGCTGCCCCACCGCCCCGGGCTGCTCTGGCCGGGGGCCTGTGCCCCCAGGCAGGGCTCCCCCTTGGTGGACCAGCCTTAGCCCCAGTGCCCGGGCCCCCAGTAGAGCGGCCGCCACTGGCCACAGACGAGAAGATCCTCAATGGCCTCTTCTGGTACTTCTCAGCTTGCGAGAGGTGCGTGCTGGCCCAGGTGTGCAAGGCCTGGAGGCGTGTGCTCTACCAGCCCAAGTTCTGGGCAGGCCTCACGCCTGTGCTGCATGCCAAGGAGCTCTACACAGTTCTGCCTGGAGGTGAGAAGGAGTTCGTGAACCTGCAGGGCTTCGCAGCACGTGGCTTTGAGGGTTTCTGCCTGGTCGGTGTCTCCGACCTGGACATCTGTGAGTTCATCGACAACTATGCCCTCTCCAAGAAGGGTGTCAAGGCCATGAGCCTCAAGCGCTCCACCATCACTGATGCCGGCCTGGAGGTGCGCACCACCACTGGCCCAGAAGGGCAGGGATGGGGGGCAGGGCCAGGCAGCAGCCACTCAGCACATGTGGGGGGAGTAGGAAGAAGCTTGGGCACACAAGCAGCAAAGCAGCCGAGGGTGGGGTCGGTGTCCTGAGGAGGAGTGTAGCTCTGGGGTGGGGGGAGCAGGACTGGCTACATAATTTGGGGGACCAAAATGAAAATTCGGGTTCCTTGTTCAAAGATGACTAAGAATTTCAAGACAGCAACAGCAAAGCAGTCAATTAAATGCGAGGCCATGCATGCCCAAGAAGCTCACATTGGGTAGGGAGGATGCTGGAGGAGGTGGGAGAAACAGGCAAAGGTCAGAGGAGCAGCTGTGGAGGCAGCCCCTTCCCCGGGACCTGGACTCTTAACATCACATCATTAACACCTATGGCTCTGAGCACCTGCTCTGGCCAGGCCCTGGACTCCCAGGCCCCCTGTGCCCTGCCTCCTCTTTTAGATGTTGTTCAAGTGTAACGAACACACTGTAAAGTGCACTTGTCAGAATACAGCTTGATGCATGTTTACACCATATACACGCTTAAAAACACAGCTTCCTGCCCCTCGGTGGGCTCCTTCTGCTCTGTCTCCTACCATCCTCACCACGCCCTGGGGGAAGGGGCGTGTCTGGGGAAAACGTGGTAGGGTTGCACCCTGGCGAGGGGGAGGTCGGGGCCTCCTGACCCCGCGCCTGCCCGCCCTCAGGTGATGCTGGAGCAGATGCAGGGTGTGGTGCGCCTCGAGCTGTCAGGCTGCAACGACTTCACCGAAGCTGGGCTGTGGTCCAGCCTGAGCGCGCGCATCACCTCGCTGAGTGTGAGCGACTGCATCAACGTGGCCGACGACGCCATCGCGGCTATCTCTCAGCTGCTGCCCAACCTGGCTGAGCTGAGCTTGCAGGCCTACCACGTGACGGACACAGCACTGGCCTACTTCACGGCACGCCAGGGCCACAGCACGCACACGCTGCGCCTGCTCTCCTGCTGGGAGATCACCAACCACGGCGTGGTCAACGTGGTGCACAGCCTGCCCAACCTCACCGCACTCAGCCTCTCTGGCTGCTCCAAGGTCACCGACGATGGTGTCGAGCTTGTGGCCGAGAACCTGCGCAAGCTACGCAGCCTCGACCTCTCGTGGTGCCCACGCATCACCGACATGGCGCTCGAGTACGTGGCCTGCGACCTGCACCGCCTGGAGGAGCTCGTGCTGGACAGGTGTGCGCGTCCCCCACCCCGGGGCCTTGGAGGGCAGGGCTGGGCGAGGCCTGCCGGACCTCTAAGCAGGGAGCCTAGTGGACTAGTGGACAGGCCTATAGCTAGAGTAGGGCTGCAGCAAGGGGGGGGCGGGGCCCTCATAAGAGGCCTGCCTAGTGTGGGCTATAACACGAGAGCAGGGCTGAGCTCTGTCCCGCCAGTAGGGAATACCACCGAGGGGTCAGGTGGGGGCGGAGCCTGGTGGGGCGGGGCTATGGAAAGGGCGGGGCATGTTGGGGCAGGAGGGGAGTTCACGACCGGGACACTTCGGGAAAAGGAGGAAGGGGTCGGGTGTTTTGAAGGTGGGCAGCCTCCTTCTGTTGCGACCACAGGTGTGTACGCATTACGGACACTGGCCTCAGCTATTTGTCCACCATGTCGTCCCTTCGCAGCCTCTACCTGCGATGGTGCTGCCAGGTATCAGCCCTCCATGCCTCCAGAGATTGGGGAGTAGGCAGGGGAGGTGGGGGGCACGGGGAAAGCCTCCACCCAGACAAGCCGCTGGCCTGCACCCGGCCCGCTCAGGTCCTGTAATGAAGTCTGGGATCCCTCCACACCCAAGCGGCCGACGTAAGCGAAGCGCAAAGAGTCCCCAGGGCCTCACCGACTCCGTGGGGAACTGAGAACCCCCGTTTTGAACCCACCCCCTGCCCCCTATGGCCTGACCCCAGGAGTGGGGCTCCCTCGGGGCGCGAACGGAAATAGTTAACTCGCCCCGCCTTCCCGCCCAGGTGCAGGACTTCGGGCTGAAGCACCTCCTGGCCATGAGGAGTTTGCGTCTCTTGTCTCTGGCAGGTGAGACCCCCCCCCCCACGCCGTCCTCCTGGGCAGTGACCACCCACGCCCATTAGTCCGACTCCGCCAGCCCTGCCGGGTCCCCTGTGCAGACCCATACCTGGTGCTGACTCGCTGCGTCCCAAGTCCCAGTCAGAAGGCGGAGACGCCGGGCAAAGTTTAGCCCGGCCTGCTCCTGCCCGGCCCCCGAGCTCCCTCCCCCAGCCCCGCCCTCCGGAGCCCTCGGGCCGCGCCCACTCAGCCGCCGCCCCGCCTCCCGCCCGATGCAGGCTGCCCGCTGCTGACCGCCACCGGGCTGTCGGGCCTGGTGCAGCTGCAGGAGCTGGAGGAGCTGGAGCTGACCAACTGCCCTGGGGCTACCCCCGAGCTCTTCAAGTACTTTTCGCAGCACCTGCCCCGCTGCCTCGTCGTCGAGTAGCGCAGGGCCTCCCCGCCTCTCGGCCCCTCGCTCTCCTCCCGGCCCCGCCTCGAGCAGGGAGGGCGGTGGGCGGGCCAGCCCCGCGCACGCACGCACGCTCGGGGAATTTGTGCATGCCCCTCGCACCCGCAACTGCACGCCCGCCCTCCACCACGCCACAGCCGCAGCCATCCTTTGCCCGCCCGCTGGGTGCGGGGGGCTGGGGCTCGGTCCTGCGGGCGCTTTGAGCTCGTCAGACGGCCGCCCCTACCGCCTTCCCCGCCACACCCCTCTCTGTCTCCCCGCTGTCCCCCCCACCCCTGGCAGGGCCCAGGGGGATTGAGGGGAGCTGGGTCCCCTCAGGACACGGGGGCCCGGAAGAGACCCTAGGGCTTCCCGCATTTTCCACTGCACCGCGCCTGGAGCCCTCCGAGGGGTGTGAGGGGAAACAGGCCGCCGCCAAAGCCATGGCCCGCCCAGGAGCCCAAGTCCCACCCGCCCTTCCCCCACCTCATACCAGCCTGACCCCAGCGACCTCCCCTCTTCTTTGCCGCTGTGTGAGACAGGCCGTGCTCGCCCCACCCCTATACACAGGCCTAAGGTCCTTGGGCCCTGGCCAGGCTAGGGCAGAACTGGATTAGGAGAGGGACCGCTGGGCTGACAGTGACCCTGGCATAATCAACATTAGCCCAGCTGGCTCCAGTCCACCTCAACCCAGGGGTGGTAGAGCTACCTTGAGAGACCTGAAGCTGGAGCGACCATCTGGGCCTGCAGGCCTTGGGAGCAGTCCTGGCTGGACCCTGCCCCGCAGCCCCTGTAGCCAGCTGGGCCCAGGCCCCTCAGCATCACACTTCACCCAGGGCAGGTATCCGTCAGGTGGAAGCTGGGAAATGGGGCCCCAGCCAGCGGCTCCGATCTTCCAGTGGCCAGCTCACCCTCAACACCCAAAGGAGGGAGGGCTCCTTTCTAGCCTCACACCCCTCCCCAGCTTCCCAAACTTCTACTTGCCCACATGGGTTCACCGTGTTCTGTCCAATCCCAAGATATTGGGAGGTCCCGGGGGTGCTGGCACATCTTGGCAATTACTGAGGAGGGGGCTGGGACCCCTTTCCATCCCAACCTTGAGCCCCAGGATATACAGCACCCACATCCAATCTTGGGACACTCCCCCCACCCCCCCATCCGGTTGGAAGAGAGTAACCAGTTTCCAGAGAGCCAGAGAGTGAGAGAGAGAGAGAGAGAAAGAGCGAGCGAGAGATGCTGTTGAAGAGAAACAGTTCAACAGCCCAAAGATTTCCCTGCCCCTGGAGCGCTGGCCAGAGGCTCCAGGGCTGAGGTGGTCAGGAGCCAGTTTCTTCAGCCCCTCCTCCCCACAGCTCCCTAGTGGGGAGGGGCAGCTGTCCATTTGTCCAAAGTATTAATGCAACTGAAGCTGTGATATTTCCAACGACTGTAGGAGGAAAAATTAGGGGGAGAGAGGAAAACAAAACCAACCAACCCCTAAAATCATTTTCTTATTGTACATACGACCTCATTCTCCTGTATATGCGGAAGATATAACCTTATATTTGGTAAGTGTTTCTTGTGCTATTTTATCACGTGACCTGTTTATAAAAATATATATTAAAAAAGTTGTAAAAACACATATCTGATTTGGTTTTAGGTCATGACGCCATGGTGGGGGGAAGGTGTATCTGTCCTGAGTGGCCCAAGTCTGAATTTTTGTGCACCTCTCAACTCATCAGACTTACTGGTTCTTTCAACAAACGTGCAGAGGCTGGTAACACTGTGCCAGACTGGAAACCCAGCAGCGACCAACAGAAGGTCCCTAACCTCTCACTGCTTCAGAGGGGGAGAGACACTAAAATTATTACACATAACATTCCCTCCAAAATATCTAGGATCTAGCCTATCCTTCCAGAAGGGCAAAAATGAGGCCTGTTTCAGGCACAGGGTAACTAAGGATAGGAATGGGTCAGGGATATCCTAAAACGGGTCCACAACACCCCCCCCACCCCCGACTGCACAGCAGAAGGTGAGCGGCAGGCGAGCAAGCGAAGCTTCATCTGCCGCTCCCCATCGATTGCATTACCACCTGAACCATCGCTCACATTACCGCCTGAACCTCCCCAGCCACCCCCGTCCCACGTCCGTGGAAAAATTGGCTTCCACGAAACTGGTCCCTGGTACCAAAAAGGTTGGGGACCGCTGTCCTAAAAGATCACACAGTGCAGCACGGACAGACCAGGGCTCATACCCAGGAGAGAAAGGCAGGCTCACAGAGTCACTGATTGAGCCGAGCCGCTTGTGTGAACAGGTCGGGTCAGGCACTCGAGCTCTTGGAGACAGAGACAGATGTGATCTCTGCCTGGTTGAGTTCATACTCGTGTGCAACAGATGACAACCAGTATACAAAGGAATGGGTTGTGACAAGCGCTGTGGAGGTGACAGTGGAGAGGTCACGTTAAATGGGGTGGCCAGGGAAGGCCTCCAAGAACGTGACATGTAAGCTGAACTCTGAAGGAGGAGATCCCTTCTGGAGAGGACAGCGGGCGAAAACGTGCGATGGCCACGAGGCAGGGAAGAGCTTGCCCAGCTGGAAGAAGGGCTAGAAGCCGCCGTGGCTGGAGGTGCGCGGAGAGAGGAAGAGGCCGGGAGTTTGGGATTTACTCACAGCGCGGTGGGGACTTATGGGGGACCTAAGGCCAAAGAGTGGTACCTGACTGCTGTGCGGGGTTCAGATCAGGGGAAACGAGGAACCCAGGGAGAGCCGTTGGAAGGCTGCTCTTGGGGTCCCGGGGAGGGCGAGAAAGGAGGCGGAGACGGTGGAGGGATTCAGGACTAGTTTAGGGATGCCTGGACTTGCTGATGGACCTTGGGGCAGAGATGAGCATTAGCATTAAAATACTGCAATAGGGGCTTCCCTGGTGGCGCAGTGGTTGAGAGTCCGCCTGCCGATGCAGTGGACACGGGTTCGTGCCCCGGTCCGGGAAGATCCCACATGCCACGGAGCGGCTGGGCCCGTGAGCCATGGCCGCTGCCTGCGCGTCCGGAGCCTGTGCTCCGCAAAGGGAGAGGCCACAACAGTGAGAGGCCCCCGTACCGCAAAAAAAAAAAAAAAAAAAAAAAAAGTGATTAAAAAAAACCCCACCACCACTCGAGGCGGAACCGGAGGAACCCCTCTACCCCTAGTCCCGGTCAACCCCTCCGCCTCCACCAGCGTAGCTCCCGGATCCGGAACGTTTGTAGTGTGGGCACCCGCCTCCGGCGAGGGGCTGGCAAGAAAAGGACCACGTCCGGCGGGGGGGCAGGAAAGAGACGGGCTGCTTCCGGCGCGGCGGTTCCTCCCCGGCCCGGCAATTTTAGGAAATGGTTCGGGTGCTCTCGGAAGGAGAGACTTCTCCGTTCGGCTAGCTCTGTTCCCGCTGCCTCCGCTCGCCCGCAACCTCCGCGCCGCCAGCCTCTCCTGCCTCCGGTCTCGCCAGACCCCCCCAGGCTCCTTAAACAGCTCGGTCCTTGAAGTCCCTCTGTGTCCCTCGCGCCTTTATAGCCTGTGTTCTCCGGGCTCCTCTATCCTTCTGCCCGCCTTCCAGAGGCCGACTTTGCGGACGGTGGGAACCACCTGGCTTCCCCGGGCGGGATTGACTGACCGAACGTCCAGTGACAATCCTAATCTGGCAGTTGGGGGGTTGGAGAGGTGGCCTGGCCTGGGACTGACCAGGTAGGGTCTTCCCCAGAAGTCAGACATGGGACTCACTGGCCTCAGGGCAGCTATGGCGCCTTCTGACTGCTCAGCCAGGGTGATGGAATTTGCCTGTCAGACTGACTAATGGTGGACTGCCCTGGACTAAGCAGTTTTGGAGGAACCACCCAGGGTAAAGGCTCTTAACTGCCAGGTCCCTACCCCCAGGCTGACCAGCCCTGCCAACTTCATTGACCTATCCCCACCACCCGTGCACCCATGGAGAAGATGTCTCGCGTGACTACAGCCCTGGGTGGCAGCACGCTGACGGGCCGCACCATGCACTGCCACCTGGATGCACCAGCCAATGCCATCAGTGTGTGCCGTGACGCGGCCCAGGTGGTCGTGGCAGGCCGCAGCATCTTCAAGATCTATGCCATTGAGGAGGAGCAGTTTGTGGAGAAGCTGAACCTTCGTGTGGGCCGCAAGCCCTCGCTCAACCTGAGCTGTGCAGATGTTGTTTGGCACCAGATGGACGAGAACCTGCTTGCCACGGCGGCGACTAATGGAGTCGTGGTCACCTGGAACCTGGGCCGGCCATCCCGCAACAAGCAGGACCAGCTGTTTACGGAGCACAAACGCACGGTGAACAAAGTCTGCTTCCACCCCACTGAGGCCCACGTGCTGCTCAGTGGCTCCCAGGATGGCTTCATGAAGTGTTTCGACCTTCGCAGGAAGGACTCTGTCAGCACCTTCTCGGGTGAGGCCCTTGGAGGCGGGTCGGGCAGGTGTGCATCTCTGCAGGTGGCTGGCCTGTCTAGGCAGGTTGAGAAATGCTGTGTGCATCAAAGGCCCTCAGATGTACTCTCAGAGGGCTTCCTGGAGGAGGAGCCAGCCGAGCTGGCACTGGAAGAGTGGGTGGAGGTGAGCAGGAGAGGGGCAGGGCAGGGGTAGGCCTGGTGGAAGTGTGAGGGGTACCTGGAGTGTGGTCACAGCTCTGATGCACTTATGGAGTCAGCAGGAGTCAAGGCTGAGTGTGAGATCAGGGAGAGAGCAGGGCCTGAGCAGATCCACAGCCCACCTGGGCAGCTGAGCAGAGGGTTTGTTTTGCTGTCTCCTCTTTCCTTGCCTCAGAGCTCCAGGCCACCTCATTGCACAAAGTCTACCTCCAGGGTCCTCAGCCCAGGGAAGCAGTGGGGAGTGGTGCACTGCCTGGTCCCCCCGCAGTTCTCTTCCCAGCAGGCCCAGCTCCCTGACAACCCCCCTTGAGCCAGCTCTCCCTTTTCACCTCGCTGAGACCAAGTGAAGCACAGGGCAGAGCCCAGAGAGAATCTGAGGGCCTCTTAAGACAGACCTTGAGCTACCTGTGCTGGGGAAAAGCTGGACACTGCACTCAGAGGCTCTTGGTGTGGTGGTCCACAGGGGTGGACGTGTACCCTCAAGGTGTCCAGTGCTCTGGGGCTGACCTGGCGGCTCCAGCTCAAGGTGTAGGGACTGGGCAGATCCTGGGGCATCCCATCCATGCCTCCGTGGGCCTCAGGCCCCCGAAGGATTGTATTCAGCCCACTGAGGCCCCTGTTCATTCAATGCTCTGATACCTGGTCCTGAAGCCGACCACAGCTTCGCCCAAGGACTGATGTCAGTTGCAGAATCCAGGGAAAATCGAGGTCCAGGAGCCTGTGTCAAAACCACCCAATGCCTGTGTCCCTCTCACCAGCCCAGGCTATTGTGTCTGCTCTGCCAGGCCTCTCCTCACCCTTGTCCACCCTGGGCAGGCCTTGGCAGTATCTACTCCACCTTCTAGGCCTCCTGGCCTGCGCCATGGGCAGGCATGTGACACCAGTCCACATTCACTCCAAGGGATACCCCTTGGTTGCTCTCCCTGCTGGAGTCCCTGTAGGCTACCCACCCACCCACCCCCAACTCTCCCTCCACTGACGTCCTGCCCACAGGCCAGTCTGAGAGTGTGCGTGACGTCCAGTTCAGCATCCGGGACTACTTCACATTCGCCTCCACCTTTGAGAACGGCAACGTGCAGCTCTGGGA